GTTTGGTCGACGAGGAAGCCTTCAAACAGATTTTCTCGCAATTCTTTCCACAGGGAGGTGAGTTTCGTAGGAGGAAGATGTGAAAGATGGTTCTAAGGAGAACCGTGACCAGTATGGACACTTTCAGATGCCAGCCAGTACGCTCACTACGTTTTCAACACCATGCAGAGGAAACCGTCTGGGAAGATAAGCTTCGAAGTGAGAATTTCATTGGAGAAACGTGTATTAGTGCGTTTGTAAGTCTATCTCGTACTAACGGTGTGTGGTTATGTCTAGGAATTTTTGACCATCTTGTCGAAGGTGTCGAGAGGCTCGGTGGAGGAGAAACTTCAATGGATATTTGGACTTTACGATCTAGACGGAGATGGATTGATAAGTAAAGAGGAGATGCTGGATGTTGTTGGTTCGATTTACGAGATGCTGGGTCGTTACACTCAACCTCAAATAGTCGAGCCTCATTTAGCCGCGAGGGAACACGTCGATCGTATTTTTCACGTGAGTAGAACCACTTGAAACTTAGTGTTCCTACAATGGAAAATTGTTTTTTTCATTAGAATAAGGGATTAAACGTTTCATTCCCAGTTAATAGACGCGAACAAAGACGGCGTGGTGACAATCGAAGAGTTAGTACAATGGTGTTCCAAAGACGAGCAACTCTTGCGAAGTCTCGACACTCTCGACACTGTCTTATGAGATCTCTACGACGATTTTGTAACCCTCACTCGATCCCCAAGATACACGGGTTCCCTGAGAATTGTAACACAACGTTCGAACGAGTTCTGCGTGTAGTTTACGTAGAATTTCGATTCGCGTTGACGCTAAAGGAAGAGAGGAATTGAGTTGAGAAAAGAGAGAAATTACCAGTACGAGCTCGTCGAACGTTCTTTGTAAATATGTATGTAACTTACACCCCACCTACCCAGTCTTTCAAGCGTGCTATTGAAAGCACGATGAAATTAACAGTATTATCGAACCTCTGATTAAACTTCTTCTCGCGTCCCGTATTTTTCGTAATCCTCTTGTGCGCCCAACAGGTCACTCGATCAAGAGGGGAGAAAGGGTTAAGCTTGTTCTAGTCGTTATTATCTTGAAGGATCGAAGCATCCTCCATTGTCGTAGAAATTTCAATGGAACGAGGTTTAATAATTCGGAGATATTACAGGATTCTTAGGTAAGATCGATGCGACGGGAACAATACTCAGTCCGCAGATTCGATAAAAACGGAGACTGAATTCTATTATACGTTCAAACATAACTTCCACGCTACGGTGACGATAAATTTTATGAAATTTTAACAAATTACGCTGTAGTATTGTTTCGAGTAAAAATTCCATTTATTTTTCTTCTTCGAAGTTATAAAATATGTACTCGACGCTGACCTTCGCAGTTAAGTACGATTTAAAAAATATTTTCAAGGAGCTTCGACTATTGTCCATCGTCCGGGTCGTCTTCATATCTTCTTATCTTTCGCAGTGAATATAGTTACGAAGGTCGATTAAAAATTTATCTCTAAACCTTTACATTCCAAAGAATTAAAAGAAACGAAAAAAGACATCGCATTTATACCTTACAGATAATAAAATCGTTCGAGACAAGGAATTGTGGTAGGGAAGAGACAGAGTTTATTCAAAGTTTACTCGACAATTTGAACGAGTTGTTAGACAACCCCAGGCATATGCGAATCAAATTTGACAATCCTCTTAATCTTGTATCTCGCACAAAATGAGTATAGAAGCTTTTTTCGATCTTGTTACGTACGTATATATATACCTCTTGAATGTTTCCAGATTTCTCGCTGAAGAAGAAAAACTGCAACGTTCAAATCGATATACTTCGTCGTGTTTCGCGAAGTTTCAAGGCGTTCGCATATGTCTATTTGATAGATGATAGATTTAAACAGTACGTATAGTCGACGAAAGAAATACGGCGAGGTTGTAAAATCGAAATTCACACGTTCAAGCATATCGACAGGAAATCTCGGTAGATAAGGACCGGAAACCTCAGTCACGGCCACATGAAATATGCCTTAGTTTTCATTCAGTCCTAATAAAAAAAACGAAAAAATACCACATTCGATTCTATTTAGGTAGGATGCTTTAATTTGCAACCTTACTGTATTTCTTCCATCGACTATACCTCCAAAGGCCCATGTACGATGGAAGACGTAGTTAGTGACCCAGTAATAGAGTTATCGTAGTACCCTCGACCAATTAAGAGAAACGTGGTCCTCTATGATCAACGCTTCGTGTGATTCTCTCGTACCTTACTATTACTTAACTATTATTAACTATCTCATAAAGAGTATCGTTATTGAAAAACACAATGACTATTAATCCCATTACCTGTCGTCTATTACTTGAAGCAAGGTGTCGCGTCATATGTTAGGCGCCTACTCTCGAGATATTCCAAGATATCTTATCACGTACAAATCTCATCGAATTTGTTGAATTTCTCAAGTTTATTAAAATACCTGTACTATATATTCGAGAAGACGTTGTCACGTGTATGTAAAGAGATCGATTCGACATTTATACAACTGTTCTGGCAATGTGTAATCCTAATAAGCACATCCTTTCAGAATCGATTTCTTTACCAACTGGTAGATTAGTATGGATATGTATGAAAATTGTATACGTATGGTTGTTCGACTCGAGTACCTTCGTCGTTTAATTCCAATGTAATTATGTTATCGATACAGTTACGATACTTCGTAAGGATTCGATGCTATTTCAAGTTCGCACACTTTTTGCTCAATCGTTATCATTTTTTTCTTGGATCAATTGTTGCCAACGAGGTGAACGATTATTATCGAATTAAACCTGGAATTTCATTCGTTTTTATTCTATTATAATATAACGAAGATATCATGATTGTCTTTTAAAGAAATACCGGTACTAATAATTTATCGTTTAATTAACGTTATAAAATGTACATGAAATAAAAACACTTATAATTACAAATACAATTATTCATTTTGATGCCCTGATTGTGAAAGTATTTTTTCGTTCGTTTTATTTGTTCGATACTTATCTTTCTCTGGTAAGTAAAGTAAGTGAGTCTCTGGCAAAGTAAGTTTTCTTCCGAGAAAAAGCTTGTTTTATGTTTTTACAATTTTTTTACGTTCGCGTTTGCAAGATGTAATTTTTTATTTGCATTTATTTTTTTTATTTTGAATTTTTCAACCTTCCATGTCGATTACATGCTGGTGGCGCTGCAGTCTTACGACTAGGTGTATACAGGATGTGTAATTCCAGTAAAAAAATGTTTCATATAGTTTGTTTCTTCTATTTAAAGGTTGATTATATAGAGTAATCGTTACTGGTACTCTAATTTGATAAGTGAAAAGGCGTATTTTGAGTTACGCGTCCTATGAAAATTTTTAATTCAGAATTACAGAGTGTACTGTAGCAGGATTTTTAATCGAAAACTCAACATGTCGTACAGTATATCCCATAAGAACTGTTCGTGTAGCGATTGCAATAGTAACATTTGGAGTTAATTGTATTTCTGAAAGTGCACATTCTCGATGAAGTTTTAAATATTGTCGTAGTGAAATTTATATGGAAAGGAAAATGGTACGAATAAAGTGGACGTTAACCAAGGCACCTAGTATTCTTAAGTAAGTCATTCGAACTATTGAAGAAACACTTGTTGTTTATTTAAATATATCGTAATATATTTCGTTATTTTCAGAGTTAATTTAAAACAAAAGTGGTGGCGTTTTCAGATCATTATAAAGTCTTTATTTTACAATGATTTTTTAAATTGGAGTTATGTTTGTGACATTCTATTGGAACCCATGTTATGGTTTGTAGAAAATTTCACTTCTTATTTAGGACCTGTAAGTACTTTTGTGATCTTCTGCAATTTCACTTATTTTGTAGCTGGTTTTATTATATCAATATGATTTTTATAAAAAAAAGTTGACATTGTTCACAATGTATTTACTAAGTTTGGCAGTTTACAGGTGTTTGTAGTTTTGGTAAGCCTTTTAACTGCAAGTATCGTATACATTGCATATTACATTGGTCTACCATATTGGTGGGAAAAAAGTCCATTAATGACAATAATCCTCTTAGTGGTTGGAAATTGGTTATTAATTAATGTATGTTTTCATTATTATATGGGTGTAACTGTTCCAGCTGGTTATCCACCAGAAGGTGGACTTATACCAGAGGCTGTGAGCATCTGTAAAAAATGTATTAAACCAAAACCACCCAGAACACATCATTGTTCTATATGCAACAGATGTATTCTTAAGATGGATCATCATTGTCGTATCCTCTTGAATGTATTATTTATTATTTTAATATTGCCTTGAATTCTTGTATGTTTTCCTAACAAGAAAATAGCATGGTTAAATAATTGTGTTGGCCATTATAATCACCGACATTTTTTCCAATATATGGCTTTCACTGTACTTGGTATCATGTTCATAATGCTGTTTGGTGTAGAAATAGCATATCAAGAATTCTTTCCGGCACAAGAACCAGAACTGGATGGTCATCCAGTACGCATTAATAATTCCGAAATCATTCCTGTGGTAATTATTATAGTTTTTTTTGTAATAGAAGAAATTGTTAGGTGAATACTATTATATTTATTATATATACTTTAGACTGAATCACTAGAGCATCTAAGCAAAGAAGAGTTAGCTGAAATAGCTAAAAAAGCTGCTGAGACAAACGCTAAAGAATGGAAACGTCGGCTTATCATTTTTGCGGCGTTAATTTGTGTAGCTACTTTTGTGGCATTGGGAGCTCTGACGTGCTGGCACGCTGGTCTTATTACTAGAGGAGAAACAAGTATAGAAGCACATATAAACAGCACAGAAACGCAAAAATATAAAGCATTCGGTAAAATATATCAAAATCCGTATAATTTTGGACCAAGACAAAATTGGAAGTTGTTTCTAGGCATAATTGGCAGGTAATTAACAGTGTCATAGCTTATTTATAGATATTGTTTAATATGGCAAATGAATGTAACGGTTTTTTTCTTACAACAGAAGTTGGTGGTATACCCTTTTTCCATCGAATCATGGACCACACGGAGATGGTCTTACGTGGAAGACTATTCACGATACAAAAATATCTTGAGTATAATTTCTATGTCTAATGATGGCAAATGTACATTTATTTTCCACAGTCACGATGAAGTTGCCCTTACAGATTTTAAAATCTAGTCAAATCATACTACTACAATTATATTATTATATGCACGTACTTCGAACAACACAACATATTCCGAAAAGTTTAATACCGCTGTAAAAAGGGATATCTGTTTTTTACATCTACAAAACTATTCGACATGTATATATATTCATTGCAACATTGATAACGATACCTTTGAAAAACATTATCATTATCTTCAGTGTACATTTTTAAGCAATATTAATGTATTTTAAACTTTTAATATTTAAATCAGTCGGTATAACTGTTAAGAAAATAAACAGTTTTTTATCTTTGCAAGGCACGGTGTACATTGATATTATGAAACTAAATTTACGGCCAAACATTCTCTTCTATCCAATTAAGGTAATGCGCTACTCTGGTATATACTCCGGGTGTATTGATGAACGCACATCCATCTCCAAAGCTGGTAATGCCTAATACTTGAAACATGCAATTTGACGGATGGAGTATTTGTAGCGGACCTCCCGAATCTCCTTGACAAGCATCTTTCTTCCAACCACCACGAGAATCTCCCGCACAAATCATACTTGGTGTTATTCCATATGGTAGTTTACTTTGTTGTCTGTATGTTATTGCACAAGCTACATTATCCACAATATCAAGAAGGGCCTTTTGTAGTTGATCACTATTTTCTTCATTATCTACAGAAATGAACAATTCTCAGATATATTTTTCCAAATATATCTTAGTCCTGCAAGTGTAATAATATCTCACTCTTACCAAATTCAGTAAGACCCCAGCCACTAACCCATGCTTGTGTAGGAACAGTATCATATTGCTGGTACAGACAAGCAGGTCTTATATCTTTGTTGAAAACAATAACTGTATTTAACTTTATAAGAGCTATGTCAGCATGTAGAGTAGGAGGTTTATACTTTGGATGACGTAGTACCCTCTTAATTCCAGTTATGATACCTTTCTGATTGTCGTTCAAATTATTAAAACCCATACGGGCATGAGTGGGACTTCTGTTTAGGAAATGATAGTAAGATTTATATAAGATTTATAGGTAGAGTACACAACAATAGACGAAATATAAAATATTACTTGGGCCCATGAGTACAATGTGCTGCAGTAAGTACCCATTCTGGTGCAATTAAAGTACCACCACAAGTAAGGCTAAATGTTCCATCTGTACCTCTTACACCTAGAGCAACCATATGAGGAAATTCTCCAGGGGAAGCACGAACACCTCCAACAACAAGAGGGTTCATACTGTTGCAATTGTCATTAGTTAACTTGATTACCTCTGAATTTGCACCCACCAAAGATAATGAGCCTTTTGTACTTGAAAATTGTCTTCGATATTCTTCACACTCTAATGCATTAAAATTATTGACAGTTAGTTAATAGTTAGTTAATAATAATTTTCATTATTTAAAGATACTTACTAAGTTCTGACTTTAATCTTGAATCTGTATATGAATCTGTATATAAATCTATTTCACTTGAAATTCTCTCTGCAGACGTCTTCTGTCGTGAATGTATCTTAGTGTTTAGATCATTTGAAGTATATATTTCTGTAAAATTATTTCCACTAGAACCCTGTAAAAAAGGATTATTAATATAAACAGCCACAGTAACACTTTGATACTCTCTTGCTCTGAATGGTTTGTCAACTGCAGGTTTCTGCATCTGTTCACTTCCATTCCCAGAAAATAACACAAGTGGCTTTGAAAAACTTATTAGAAAAGGATTTGTCTGATAATTCACTGTATCGGTTGTACTAGAAATATTCAATTCTGTTTTCTGAAGAAACGGGTTCGTGTCACTGAGCTTCGGTGGCTTAGGTCTCTTCTTTCTCGTGTTTCCTGAAAATGCTTTCAGCTGTAGTCTTTTGCTAAATGAATCGAAAATACTTTGAATACTATATAACAACATTAAAGTTGTGGTAATTAATCGATAAAATAATAAATTGTTTTTCACAATTTTATGGAGAACGTTCGATACGAAAAACAAGCATGTACAAATGGTAAAATAATATAATTAACCTGAAGTTTTCGCAGATAACACTAATATTACGCTAAGTAATAATAATAATGTAAGAATGTTAAATCGTAATGCCATTGCTGTAAGCAGCACAAAAAATCTTTCCCTGGCGTTCGGTTAAAACGGTATAAAAAAAGGAATAAGATCGCAGGCGTATTGTACGTAGGATATTGAATAAATAGTATGCATCATCTTCCCATTATTTGCGTAAAGCTATCATGTTTTATTTAATTTTTACGCATGCTCAACGATGTTTACAGAAAAATGCATGCATCACCATTAATTTACCGATTCACAGATCCAATCTACGAATCAATTATTTGATGTGTATTCGAAATAACGTCCGATTGGTCGATGAAGAATCCTCCTGACGTATCCTGACACCACGTGACTCTGTGGTATTCACAGAAATTTTAATCTACGTTTCGTTATCGAGGGATTTTCCAGATAGTTAAACCTTTTTTCTCCTTTGCCAATGCAGTTGCGGTCACTTTGTTTTATGTAACTCTATAAAATATTCGTAAATAGGGAGTAATAACTATTATTATCTTCTCAGAAGTAATTTTTATCATTATCCTGCGAGATGTCTTTGTTATTTGTATGTACATACATAAAATTTTTAAGTTTGAATCACGTCCGTTTGAAAAATAATCCCTTTAAATCTTATTTCACTTTCAGAACAATATGAAACTCTTTACATTCTTTATTAGGTTAAATCACAAAAATTTCCGTATCTATCAAAGAAGAGAAGATAAACGATATTTCTAGTTTCATCTTTAATAATAACCATGAGCAGTTGCTATGAATGTTGAAACGATAAGGAAATGTATAATTTTTTTATCAATAGAAGAAACATTTGTTCATGGATACAATTATATAATTTACTATTCCAAGTGATCATTTTTCCTTATTAACCGTTATCAATTCGATGTGGTACTACTACCAATTGCGCGCTGTAGATGTTATTACCAATTCCTCACAAAGGCAAATTGCCGTATAAACAACCGGCGTAAAGTATATATAAGGGTCATTGCGTAAAACTAGATGCTCAATCTGTCAATTGATAAAAGTTCGCGCTCAGAGTTCACTTACGCATTGAGGATGTTCTATCGCGCGATCATCCTGTTCTGCCTGATCGCAGGCACGATTTCCACGAACATCAAATTAGCTAGGATAGTAATCGTTGGTGCAGGGGCGTCTGGTATCGCAGCTGCATCGAAATTACTTGAAAACGGCTTCGAAGATGTTTTAATTTTAGAAGCTGAGAATCGAATTGGCGGTCGAGTGAATACAGTTAAATTTCGTAAGTTTGAACTTTAACCGAAACACTGATAAAAAATATTCCAAGATTGCACGAATAACAAAGTAACGAACAAAAATTTCTACACGTTTGCAGATGATTACTGGGTAGATTTAGGGGCGCAATGGGTCCACGGAGAGAAAGGAAACGTTGTATACAAAATGGTAGCTGATTTGAATCTCACGGACCACTCGGATCCCTACGAGGACAACATTTACACGTCCACAGGTGAATTAATCGATACCAGAATCACCAAGAACATTACAGATACTTATGTGGAAGACATGGACAGGGTAGAAGAAATAACGCGTATTGAGTGCAATCGTTCCATCGGCGAATGTTTCGAAAATAAGTACGAATTTACCGATACTCTTGTACCGCCGCTTCATCAATGTATTCAGGAAGAAAAAAAAAAGAGCTGAGATAAACGTATCGTAATTGCCAGGTTTATCAGTAATTCGTTTCGAATTCACCCTTACTTTCAAATTATGTCCATACAATGTAGAACGACCGTTCTGCATAAGAACAGACCTGAGTAGGATGTTATCTTCTTCTTGTCCTGAATCCATATCTGAAGTGACATGTTCACATTTCGATGTATCTTATGCACTGTCGTCCAATGAATTTATGTATGTACTAGGTTGAGACAGTCTTTCTCGCTATTTCCGGAATTAAATGAGACGATGCAAGACCAATTATTATGGCTCTTTGAAATGATGCAGACTAGCTATGATCCTGCTGATAGCTGGTACGATATCTCGGCGAGAGAGTATTTCGAATATTCTCTGTGTGAGGGAGATCAAGTGATAAATTGGAAAGAACGCGGGTACAGCACCATTCTCGATATATTAATGGTTCGTACGTGCTGTAATAAGATAATTGCCTGTTATTCGTTTCATACATTTCTTCAATATGTTTTTCGTCGTTTTAGAAAAAATATCCAAATCCGGAAGAAGAGTTACCTGTATTGAACAAAACGATTTTAAATACCGAAGTAACAAAAGTCGACTATTCCAGCGAAGATAATACTGTAAAAATATCGACGCTCGATGGAAAAGAATACGTAGCCGATCATGTAATCATGACCCCATCTTTAGGGGTACTTAAAACACAATACGAGACTTTGTTTAATCCTCCATTACCGGAAAACAAAGTTAGGAATATTAAGGTATATTCTTTTTCTTTATTGTTATTTCGATGAAAATGAAAATTTTAATTAGCGATATTTCTCTTCAGGGTTTAGGATATGGAAATGCTTGCAAAATCTTTATAGCGTTCAACGATACTTGGTTTAATCCGAGGGGAGATAAGAACGGAGGGTATAGAATTATCTGGACTAAAGAAGAAAGGGAGAAGCTGGATAGTAATGTGAGGGTTTGAAATTGTTACGATAAATGCAACAATGAATATGTTCTTTAAGAAATTTATATGCCTTCTCAGCCAAAGACAAGGTGGATGGCCTATTCCGTAGGATTTTTCTACGTCGAGCACAAGCCTCGTTTACTGTACATATGGGTTTCTGGGAAAGGTGCACGTCTAATGGATGACGTCACGGATGAAGAAGTGTATGATCAAGTTACAGAGATGTTATATAATATGATGTCAAATATGTTTAATGTCACTAGGCCATTAGCAGTGATAAGGTATCATCCTTAAAGCTCGTATCTACTTCTTTCTATTCTTATCTAGTGTTTACGAAATATATTATACTTGTAGGAGTAAATGGCATCAAAATAAACACTTCCGGGGTACGTACAGCTACCGAAGTATGGAAACGGTAGCAACGAACTCTAGCGCGTCACAGTTAGCCGAGCCAATTGTGAAAAATGAGAAACCGGTAAATTTCATCGTGAAATGCTTTTGGAAAAAAAAATTAAAGCGTATGTGTATCGCATTGTTTTCTCTTTCAGGTGGTATTATTCGGCGGCGAGGCCACTAACGAACATCACTTCTCTACGGTACACGGTGCAATTGGTTCAGGATGGAGAGAAGCTGACAGATTGATACGACTTTATCTCAAAACTGATGATACAAATGGTGATTTGATGACCAAGTAACAGATTTTATTTCAATAGAATTTTCTGCATCTACAAATATACAGACTATCTTACGTTAATTATATTCTATGAGTAGAATTTCTTGTGACTTCGTGTCTTTAATAATGATCCTCTACAATTTTAATAATTACATCAATTGTCTCCAGTTCCAGATGTGTGTGTATGTATGATTCTATATACATAGTATGTATGAGGAATGTGTGTAAGTATACCCACATATTTCAAACTACTTCTATGTACATCTTGCTTCATCAGCTCTTTGTTACGTGATGCTGTAGAAAAATTTGTGCCTGTTTGACACCGGTATCGTAAGCCCCATGTGTCGTAGAATAAAAATGTTCGTGTGTTGCCTCACCAGCAAACATCATAATAGGTACATCCTAAGGTAAAATTAATTGTTATAATTTTCCATAATTTCATACTCGAATGCATTGATTTTCTTACCTCGTTACATTTCTTCTTTGATTTGCCCCATATCGGTTCTGATAGACAACATGGCGTTATTCCATCCGCGTCACATCTTGTTGTAATGTGACTATAACTACCTCGAACGTATTTATTCGCATTCCATTGTGTCCTTAAACACTCTTTTACTGGAGATATTTTATCAAGCTTCAAATAATGTTTCAGTAAGTTTTCACAGTCAGTCGCGACTTGTTGCTCGCTTAAAGTCTCAACGATATAAGCTCCACGTCCACATACCCATCCAAGAAGTATACCTTCGTGATTTGGTAGAACATCGAAACCCGTCATATCTCTGGTCCACGAAGCCAGTTTTTTATTACAAAATGTTCCTTCTGTCCAAAGTAGTTGAAACCCTTCTGTATTTGGTTTCCACCAGGAGATTCCGAAATCGAGAAATACTTTGTTTATTAAACCGAAGCCCAAGCATTCTATTGCTCGAGTAAAAGGACTTGGTAAAGATGGATTAAACATCTTTTTATAATTCTCTTTTAAATAACCAAGGGAACAAGTGATTATCACACAATCCGCAAGAATTTTGGTATTGTCGGAGATGTTTAACACAACGGAGGAATTAGAATTGTTTCCTACTACTTGTTGCCACTCGATCGAATCCACGACAGTATTTAGACGTAAATTTTTTGCTCCCAAACCATCAGCGATGAGTTTGGTTATGGCCTTATATCAGGATTTAAACGTCAGGTATTCTGGACCACCAGCAAACTGTAAAACACATACATATTTTAATATTATTAAATAATAGGCATTGCAATCTTTTTGCGTTTACCTTGAATTTTCCCCAGTATTTAGTAGACAGATCATTAAGTGTATAACAAGAGTTATCTATTTTAAGGAATTTGAGATTCCAATCAAAAATCTCTTCTTTTATATTTTTTATCGCTGGCGAATCATTCTTTTGATGCAAGTACTGGTTGAAAGTGTTTCTTAAAACCGCACCAATATTTTCGCAACCTTTTTCGACATCCTTATCCACGTAATCTTCACAATCTTCTAATGTGTTGCGAATCAGATCATCTATCTCTTCTATCAGAGCTTTATCTACTTCACGGCCATTATTTCGAATGAAAATTCCCTGGCCATCTCTGTAGTCAATGTCTACGAGTAAATCATGCTGATAACACAATTGTGCTAACTGACTTTGATCGCCATGTATGAACTGTGCACCATGTTCTATCCATGTTTTATTCCACAGTACCGAATTAATCCGACCTCCGACTTCGTTTTGAGCTGAGTTAAAACAGATAATCAGTCATTTAATATTCTTCAAATACAACATTCATTTGAGACACATTACCTTCGATTAATAAATAATCTTTGAAATTTACATCCTCCAATGTCTTAGCAGCTGCTAGTCCTGCAATTCCTGCACCTATTATCGCAAGTTTCGTGCCCGTTGTTGCTTGATTTGAAGCATTCGGCGTCCTTCCCATATTATTTTCGAAGTCTTTTATGACTTTCTTTAACGAACCACACGTTCTACGTCATTTAAATTGTGGTACTTTATTAAATTTTCGCTGTCTTATTTACATATGTGATAAATTTTTAATGTGTATATACAGGGTAATATTATGCAAGTACAACAATTGACAAATACAACGATCAGATCATGGGAAATTTTATTTCATTAGGACTAATATATTGATTAACTACTTGTAAATAAAAAATAACGTGACTGGCAATGCAGCACGATTAAACATGCATGCATTTCATTTATTTGTTCATTGTTAAATATAGAATTATACATCTTGATTTTAATTGTAATTTTAAGTGTTTTTTTTTTTTCTCTTGAACGGATAAAGTAAAAATAAACGATCATTTGTTTAAAAATACGTTACAAATATTCATATAAAAAATGTTTGCTTTTCATGTTGTAAAGCATCAAGTAAGTTTACCGTTTACCGTGATTCCTTATGAAGAAACATGTGGCTTTGGTTAGAGCTGAGACTTTAACCGCCTAAGAAGAAGCATGCAAATCAATAGAAATAGAATATGTGATTCAGTATAGTCATATCTAGTTTACATTGATCTTTTCACTTATATCTTGCTTTCAAGATAAGAAAAGAAGTAAAAATTCGATGAAAAAAGCGTGAAAAAATAAGTGCCAAAGATCATGCCAATTATCTTTGTAGTTTTAATTACATTATCAAGAAGTAATATGAAAATGATAGCGCAGAATAAAAGAAATGAGTTGCTAATCCAAATAATATAAATCAGGATGATCAAACCATTGCTACAGAGGCTGTTTTAAGCTATGCAATGAACGTAAAAGTGAATTTACCTTAAACTTAATTACTGTTTAATCATCCACAAAAGCATTATGTATACATAAAAATCCTGTCTCTCGGCTAGAATGAGTGTTCATAACGTATTGTATACTATAACTACCTTATCCCAAATAAATTTTAATAAATAATGATATATCGAAAAATTGTAAAATTTACCTATGGAAATTTAATATTCTATCGGCCTCTCTGAATCCCGTTTCAACTGCCCCGTGCACGGTGGAATAATAATGCTCGTGCGTGGCCTCTCCAGCGAAGAGAATTATCTAATGAATGAATAAAGTTATCAAAAAATTTAATAAACATTAGCGGTTGAATATTCATTCAACGGAAACATACAGGCTTTCCATCAACTGTTGCAATAGGATCAGCTAAATCTCTGATTTCTACATTTAACTTGTCAGTCTCTGTACTCTTAAAAGTGTAGCAACCACGGAAGTATTCATCTGTATACCACGATGATCTATAAATAATAGAAGTCATATTAACATTAGTCTATTAAAAGCTAGAATGTTAGAAATTATTACCTAAGCATTTTATCAAATTTCGGAATATTATATGCTTTACTCAAAAACATATCTAGTAGCAAGTACAATCCATCAGATACATCACTGTCAGAAAGTAGTTCTATCTGCCTTGCATATTTTCCAGAGATCCATGAACATAATACTCTTGGTTGATAATCCACAGAAAGAAATGCAAAAACATCACATAACCATCCATATCCCTAAATTATATGTGATTAATGTATTGAAAAATTAAACAAAAAAGAACACCAAAGAAGATGACTGTACTTGTCCATGACATTTAATAAATTTTTCCTCATCTTCCTTGGACCATATTAAACTAAAACCAGCACATTCTTCTTGCCACCATCTATGTGGGAATTCCAAGAAAACTTTATTTACAGTTCCAATATTTAAACCCTAAATAACATGTTACAATTGCATTTTAAATTAGGTGTATTCCAAAAAGTACAATGATTTCCATATTACTCATCAATATTAAACTTTTACCGTGCCTTTATTGCAAGTTGTTTAATCTTAGGCAAACATGGAGTGAACATTGTTGCATGTCTCTCTTTCAGTACACCAATAGATGCAGTGCATATTACATGCGGTGCTGTGTATTTAGAACCATCTTTTGTTTTTACAATTATATTATCACTTGAAGTATAATCAATATTATTAACATCTTTATTAAATTCTATTTTTTCCATTATTGGTAGTGTGATTTTTGAGTTTGTTATTTTTTGCTGAAATAAGAAAAAAAGTAAAGAACACATTCTAACAAATGTACAGTGTAATTATTATTCATATAAAATATACATACGGATAATAAATCAAACAATATTTTATAACCATTATGTTTCCAATTAAGTAAGAGATCTCCTTCACAAGTCCAATAATTTGTAATATGTTTTGCAGAAACATCAAACCATGTATCACTAGATTGAATGGAATTATCAAATTTATGCATCCAATCCAATAATTGTTCAGCTCTCTCACGAGTAGTAAACGGATTTTCCTCAAATTTTTTATAAAATCTAAAACGATATTTATTTTAAATATAATATTTTACTAAA